GAGAGAGAGAGAGAGAGAGAGAGAGAGAGAGAGAGGAAATAAAGAAGAAAGAAAGAGAAAGGGGTGCTTGATGTAGTGGCACTCCAAAAAAATGGAAATACTCGATAGAATAAATTCTCTACTGAGATTTTTTGCGTTGTTGATTGCCAAAAATATGGTTCACCAAAAGGGACGTATGCGTGCTACTGCAGGATACCAGGAGAATATGGCCCCGAAAGCTCAATACGACGTATTAGCAATGTCCATACGTTTTATCAAAGAACAATAAAAAAGATTTATTTTTGCAAAACATCTGTCACGTATCCATAGGCGTTTACCTTTCCATCCTACTTTTGTTTGATTAAGATTGCGAGCCACTACGATAACGCGTCGTAAAAGGGTTTATATTTTATATTTATAAGACCGGATTTTTCCTCCCGAAGGCTTAGATGCAACGCGCAAAGCTAATTTTTGTAAATAATCTTATAAATAAGTAAATTCATATCCTTTATAAAACTTTACTGTTTATCTGTATATTAATTATTTAATATCCATTATTTCGCTTTATTTATCATTTTCGAATGCTACGAATATTATGTACGAATATTATCTATCTGTTTCTAATGAGAGTTTCGATCGACAGTTAAATTCAAAAAGAGTTTTATTTTTAAACAACGTTGAAAACGCTGTTACGTCACAATTGGCTACGGATGCAACGGGTGTGCTTAAAGTTCGAAACAGATATTCAATTGAGTTTCTTCTTTCAAAGAAATGAAACATATTAATAATATTCTAAGATAAGCCCAACATTTATTGGCAAATATTGTATATTAGAAGAATAATTCGTGCCACAATTTCTTTTCACCTTACACTTAAACTAGTAAAACATTCGCTAAAAGCACCTGTCAAACTATACGACAAAGCTCGCATTAAATAGAATAAGACTGTTTAGAATGAAAAAGCAATGCCATTCAAGGCCTAAGAAGTCATCTAATTTGAAAATCTTCCTGAAAAACTAAACTGAAAAATCCCGTAAACCTAATAGGTGAGTCGAATTAACGGACGCTTACAAATGACGACTCGAGTTGTGAAGTGCGATAAAGCACGGGGGTCCGCTCGTGCATACCTTTATTTATTTCGCATCGAGAGCCGGCTAGCTGACTCGTATCTGACGTATATCGACAACAGACTCTCCGAATAAAACTGCCTATTCCCCACCCACGCGTCCGAAGCCAAAGTACAAATAGGTGCAGAAGCGATGCGCATTATCATGGCGGATCTAGTTGCCGGAGGAGGCAGTTGTTGAACCGGCGCTTCCGAACGCGGTTACCTTGAGGTCACTTCGATAAGGAAGGCTCTCGGATCGGAAGCGTCGCGCGCTCTCGGCGGAAAATAGATCCTCGTCAGCGCGGATTCTTTTTTTTTTTAGGTGGCGGTGATGACGAGACGTTCGCACGCGCATCGCAGCGCTTACAAAAGCGCTATAGTCACCGAAACGGGTGTCACATTCATTGACAATAAGTGTGCAGATGGGAATTGGCGATGCTCGAGGCAACTGACGACGTGTTTTCGGGGGATAAGTTGAACCAATGACGCCGAAATAATACGGTGTTCTATCGCCGACAAATCGAGCCAAGCCCCTTATCGATTTTACCCAAGAACATCTTAAACATTCTTCTTTGTGCACATTAAAATTCTTTTCTCGAGACTTTTCTATTTTATCTTCCACATTCTTTTACAATTTATACGAGATTTTCATTAAAGTATAATTATGTGCCGTTATCGTTTTTAACTTTAATTTTCAGTAATCCATTCCTAACGATTCTCCTGTTACAATTAAAACAGATTGCTACATACGTTAAAGGCCTTTTTCCGTAACGATTTACTCATTTCACAAGTAAACATACTGAATTATATAAATATATCTATTTTCAAATGATAAAACAAAGCATTTAAATGATTTATTTATTTATTTAAATGCATTATTCAAAGAAATTATTAATTACAATTATTAGTTCGTATAAATTCAGTTACTAATTCAGCAGACATACTTTAATTATTTTAATCAATATATATTTAATGTTTTTCACTTCATCTATAATGCTAAAAGTTATAATAGAAAATGTGTAGCAAATTTTCAAACTGCGCATCAATTTATCATTTATTATTTTAACGAATATAGTATTAATATAGTATACAATATTACATATTTGAACATTATTTAAATATTAAAAAATTCATTTATAAATAAAATTATTAAACATTTTTTTAATTCCTAAATATATATATTTATTTATATATATATAGATAATTCGAACAAATAAAATATGAACACAAAATTGTGAATTTTTTCTTTATATTATCTTATTCAATTATTAAGGTAAGTTAAAAATTTTGGAAATACTTTAATCATAATACATTATTAATTATGAATCGTTAAGTCTATAATTGTCTAATAGATATAAAGTATGCAACACTTATCAAATCTGTATAATATGTCAATTTATGTTGTTACTTTTACAATTACAACTATGAATCATTACGAATAAATTTCGAATAATAATTATGCAAATTATTATAGATAAAGCTGTCAAATAAAAATAGCTGCATTAATTTATTTTGAATGAGCAATAAAGCTTGGAGCACTGATCAAATTTATATGTTCAAACTCATATTTTAAATTAAAAAATATGTTTTAATCATTTAAATTTACATTTGAAATTACATTATTTAAAATTATATTATTGAGTGAGACGTTGTATTCTTTTAAAAAACAAAAACTTTTCATTTGAACAAAAATATTACTATTTGTTGAAGCTCTTCGAGATACTTTAACTTACATGAAAACATATTTTAGAATACAACAAATTATATTATTTACGTGTCAATATGAAATAATGGACATGTTTTATCGGTAAAATATTTATTAATATTACATCATCTTCTGGTGAAAGAATATTAACTGTATATTGTAAGAAATATTATTTGAATAATATTATGAAATTAATTTTTGTACGGAATTTTCTAAACTTCATTATTAATTGAGGTTAATGTAATATTTCTAATGTAATAATTAATATAATAATCTTCATGGAATAATGTAATATTAGAGTTAAAAAAATAATAAAATATATTTTTGTTAATTAATTGTAAGTATATACAAAATAACTGTTTTCATTACAAATTACTATTTCTGTAATGATAATCATATGCAGTCTGATCATTTTTAATTTTAACTAATTGCAATTGCGTCATTATGTGTATCTGTTGTATAAATACGCGTTATCGGTATTTCTGAGTTTCAGTTGCGTTTACATATATGTTTTACATTATATGTCCCATTAAGAATCAATAATAATTACTTGACCCTATATACTTTATAGTCAAGATCAAATTCTACTACTAAACTGTATTTTTCATTATCTTGTTTTAATTTTTAAAATTCAATATGTATACATGGATAATGCCGTCGTACTCGATTACTGATAACTTTGTTGGAACACGTACAATTTAATCAACAAAAACTTATTAGAAAACGTATAAATTTGTAATAGTGCAGGATGTTTGTCACCGACGTGCACACTAAAATTCAAAGAAATATATTTATTAAATAATTATTATATATTATGTACAATAATAATATTGGTATTTATATTTATCAATGTAACGTATTCAATTGTAATAGAACACTTATTTCAAAGCTCAAAATTTATTCACACTGACATTATTTCGTTGCGAATTTTAAATTTAAAGTATATGTGATATAATTGCAATTAGGTAAAGTTAAGATCAAAATAAGTAACTCATGTTACCTTATAAATTTAAGGTTTCATACTAACATTTTTATTTATTTAGATATCTTTTACGTCAAAATTATTTTACAAAATAGTATGGATCATAAAAAATTTGATAATTGTCGCAGATTATTCGTATAATATGTATGCAATTACAGTAACTTAATGTTTATTTGAACTTGTATTTAGTTTAGATTTACAAGATAATTGAAAATAATAATACACTAACATTAGAAGATGCAATATCATTTTTAAATAATACATTGAATATACATTCTCGCATTATTTATCATTAAATATTTGCTTGAAAACTTTAGATAAATTTCATGAAATAGTCATTTTATAATCTAAATTTTATTTATCTATATATATAGATTTATATGCGCACGCGCGTATGTTTACGTACACAGCTATTTAAAGCTTTAAATCTCAATTTAAATCTTGAAAGATGCTGAACAAACTACTTTTAAAAAAAAATCTTTTTAATAAATATAAAAAATTATTATTAATATAACATTTTAGTAAAATTTTAATATAACAATTATTTACAAAATGAATTATTATGATTTATATACAGGTAAATACTTGTGCATGCATATAGTGCGTTAGAATACATAAAACTAATATACAAAAAAATATTTACTGTAATGTTCCAAAAATTTTTATTATCTCGATTTTCATAAAAAAATTCATTAAAATATTTATTATCAATTACTAAACAGTTTTGTAACTTATAAAATATCTATTCATCAAATAAATGATATGAAATTTTGTTTATTTATTTGTTTATTTGTTTGTTTGCGAGCGAACGTTTGTGTATGTGTGCGCACGCGGCAAATGTTTCAGTGCGTAAATATGTGTATAATGTGTATGCATGCCAACACTGAGTAATTATTGTATATTTTATAGATTAAAATTAAAAATTAACTTTTCATGTATGATAATTAAAAATATTGATATATTTTGCAAATTATTTGAAAATGAAATATATTAATAAAAAGAAAAAAAATTCAACGTTTAATTTAGAAAAATATTAAGAAATTCCTGAACGAGATATTACTACTAACTTCATGTTATTTCGTTTTATTTTATTACAAAACTAATAATGACAATTTAAACTCTTAATATCTATTATAGCCTGCATATTTTCTAACATAGTATTTGTTTGTTAAAAAGAAATATAAACAAAATACTTGTTAAATCAGTTGTTGTATTTTTGCCAAAGTTATCTATTATTTTAATAGACTAAATTTATAACTTATGTTCTGAAATTAAAAATTGACCTATAATTTACGTATCCATCTTACACGTAGTATAGTCATTTAGTCATGTATGTACGTATTAATCTATTATAATATAATTTTAACTCCAACTCATCCATTTATATATATGGAATACTAATTGTTTGTAGAATAAATAGTTATTACATTATTTATTTGCAATTAAAATATTATTTGATATATAATAGTAATATGCCAGTATTCGTAACTCAATCCGAATAAAAAATATTTGATTTACAGATTTATTTTTGCATATATAAATATATTTTGTTTTATTATGAAATTTGGTAAAACTCCAATTTCTTTGAATGTATATGATTTTCTTTTATAACCATATATAATAAAAATATCTATACATTATAATAAATTAAAGTAGATCGTATTTTAAAATTAATTTTTGAAAATAGTTATAGTATTTTAAAGATTTTTCGTAAAATTAAATATCAGGATTATCTAAATAGTGATGTACATGGATGTATATGTAGGTATTTATTAGGAAATATTAAGAAAAATGATCGAATTGTGGAATTTTGCATCAAATTATTAATGAAATACTTATTCTTATTAATCATTCATATAAATTACACTTAAATTACGATAAATCATCGATAACTATTTAGTTTAAAAGTGTGATAAAAGTCTGATTTTTTTTTCTTTCTAAAACTCTCAAATTTATGGTATCTTTGCAATATTCACACTTTATTTGCATTAACTAATAAGGACAATAAATACTGCTTTATATAATTTACTTTAAAAAATTAACAATGGAATTGCTTATATATTATAAATTCTATAAAAATAATTGTATTATTATAGTTAAATCTCCAATCGCTAATTAAAAATTAATGACCACTTAAAATTAATTACTTTAATTAAAAAATTAATTTAAATGTCAAAAAGTAAATTAAGAAGTAGAAATAGTGTTGCTTGTGAAAAACAATTACACCATACTTATCAATATGTCATGTAATTTTAACTAAGAAGTAATTAAATAAAAAATAGATACTATTGAAAATTGTTTAGGCATTAATATATCGAATTAATCAATGGTAATTCTTTATTAAGTAAACATTTCCTAATGCAATTGATAATTGATATGAAAGACGATTGAAACAATAAATCGCCGGATAATTTACAAAAAACAAAAAACAAAAATAGAAAATAAAAGTCCTAAAAGCGTATTATTATTGCTGTGTTTTCTGTATTGTGTTTTAAGTAAAATATAATATTGAAAAACAACGTCATGGAAATGTATAAATTTTGATATTTGAAAATAATTCCGTAAATATGTCCACAAATACATACCGTGTGTAATATTCCATTTCCCGATAAGAATAACAAAAAAGCGTATTCCCAACTCTCCTCCTTTTATGACCATAAATTGTTTCAAGGCAACATAAAGGCATTCGAAGAAGCGATAACATCCACACAACTAGCTCAGCAATTAGTTAATAATGAAAAGACGCATTGCCGTTCCGAGTTGAAAATCGGTGGAGAAAGCGAGCGAAGCATCCGAGAATAAGGCCCGACTGCAAGGCTTGTAATACTGAAATTTTAAAATCGGCTAGTCGCGCGTGTTGCCTTAGCCCCAGCATTTCGTCATTGGGTTTTATCGATCGCTCATAAGCGTCTGCCTATGTCGGACCGCACGCCTCCAAGAGGAAGCGCTTATTATATTTATCTCCCGAGCGCGAATATTTTTATTATGATTTTTTAGCGCCAGGTGGCCGCGCGCGTTTTTATGACAACGCTGATCCCAATAATGCCAGCGGCTCCCGACAAGGACACAAGACAAGAGATCAATGCGCTCCTCCACGTCACAGCGCCATTACATCGATTAATGTCACATTGTATCTCATTGTTGTTGTTCTTCTTGTTATCGCTGTTGTCGTTGTTGTCGTTGTTGTCGTTGCTGTCGTTGCTGTCGTTGTTGTCGTTGCTGTCGTTGTTGTTGTTGTTGATGGTAGTGGTGGTGGTCGTGGTGGGTGTGTTGTTACCGCTGAGGTCGTTATCACTGGCGGTTGAAAAATCGTTTACGTGGTACTTCGGAGTGCGAGCCGGCGCCGGGTATCCTGTGTCGGATTCCGTCTCTAAAGTTTCGGTGAACTGACGCTGGGACAGGTGAAAATTACATACTCCTAACATTTGTCATTTTCCAATAAAATGCCTGCCTTCTGCTTTCTTTCCTTCTCTGTCTCTCCCCCTCACATCCCCCACCATCGCCCCACTCTCTCTCTCTCTCTCTCTCTCTCTCTCTCTCTCTCTCTCTCCGCCCAATAATCTATCTGTATCTTTAGTTTCGGTATTCAACGCCACCCTGTCCGTTTCTTTCTTTCGCACGCGACTTTCTAACTGCAGCCGTCGTCGCGACTCCGGCAGTTATAGGGAAAGGGATTAGGTTTGTAATTACATAGAATGGCCAATTGGGCATAATTGAGTTGATTAAAGGCGGGGCAGCCAATTACGGAACTTCAAGCCTCTATTAGCCAAGGTAACTTCATGCATTTTCTCACGCGTCTAAAATATATTCATATTTTTTGTATCTAAACAAGTCTCGTTTACGACGCGCATATATACGAGCGTTTCTAGTCTTGAGGAGCTTCATCGTTTCATTGCAAAATGCACAAAATCTGTTTTCATCCGATGCTATGCTTGATCATTTGAACGGTACATATGGGAATAAAAATAATATAATAAGGGCGAAGTGTGGGAGAGGGCATTAAGGCTACATTCATAACAGGTGCGTTCTTTACCTGCCCTGTAATCAGCACATTTAATTATAAATCAATATTGACCATTTTTAATTTCCTTTATAATTAAAATAATGTAGCCTATTTGCGATACAAATTTTCGTGCCGTCATTGAATTTTGAATAATTTTTACTTTTTACCTTTCTTTTTACAAGGAATAATTTTCGTCTTTTCTTTTTGTATTAAATGACACTTGAATATAATACTTACACTAAACATAATATTCAACAAATTAAACAAATTATCTTTCAACTATATTATAATAATCTTAATGGCCATTATAATCGTAATTAATGTTTTAAGTAGCTTTATGATTTGTATGCAGTTTATTCGCATAACTTACTTTATGATCGACTGCTTCTCCAAACGTTTAGTATTCAATTTGAAAATGGCGTCATACGTAAAAATAATATTGCATACAAATTTATTTTTAAAAATAAAATTATTTCAAAATTTCATTTGCCGACAAATTACTTTGTGATTTTTGTTATAATTTTAATAACAAGTGCTTTGCAACTTCCTATCATCGTCGATATGCAGCTTTTAGCCCAATGTAAAATTTCTTATTATTTTAAAAACAAGCATATTGTTTTGTGTGTTAAAATAATATTTATTTGCAATGTAAATTATAAATTAACATAATAATTTAATGTAACGTGCGTATCATTCTATTATGACAGATAATGAAATTTCTAAAATTATTACACGCTTAATTTATTGTCCCTGTTTGTGTGTGCGTGCGTGCGTGCGTGCGTGCGTGCGTGCGTGCGTGCATGCGTACGTGCTTGTGTGTGTGTGTGTGTGTGTGTGTATTTTATTTTACTTTTAAGCAACCACGTACCATATTTAGAAGGAAATAGCATTTATAAAACTTTAAACAACATAAAAAAAACTTATCAATAGAGTGTAAAAATATTTTATTCTATATTTTTAATATCTTTCCAAACAAATTTAGTAATAATAATTGCAAAATAATTATGAATTATATGTTACATTAAAGTATAAATATTTAGTTATGTAATGATAGATAAATTTAATTAACATTATAATTTAAAAACTAATTGTGATTAAAAAATCAAATAAAATATGATTTAAACAAAACTAGTAACTACAATAATACATATTAAACATCTCATTGTTAACAATCATTTATACTCCAACATCTCAATATTTATTTTCCTAAATATTCATCTATATATTAAATATGATTGCATGTATTAATAAAATCTTTCACGTTAATTACAATATCAGTTACACGATGTGCGTCTGAAAAGTACAAAACATGCATTGTGAACGCTTCCTACAGATATAAAGTAAATTTAATATTAATCGCCCAATCAAAATAAATAAATATAAATTTGATATACTTTTATAAGTTTTTTAGCATAAATCTATCATTGCAATACTACTTGCTCATATAATAAATTATACTTATGTAATATTAATCAAACCCTTTGAATACGGTCGCAACTGTAACGGAACTGATGATATCTAATATTGGCGATGAGTTCTGCATAAAAAGAATGAAAAATATCTGATCAATTATTTATATTGAATTGATAGCTTATTACATGAGTTTTTCTATTTATTACATTTATCTGTTTATTACAAAAGTTTTTTCTACTAAATTCATAGTGTACGATAATTTACAATTATGATACAAATTTCATTAAATTACATTAAAGTATTAAAATTAAATTGTTTTTTTATCGATTAATACTAAATTATAATATTTATTAATTATGTTTTACACTTAATTTTATCTTCACTGTGTGGGCTTTGTTAAAAAATATTAAAACTAATAATATATTTATCCTTTATATAATTATTTCTGTCTTCTCAGGAAACCTTAGCACTTATACAAGCTTGCATTTTACTGATAAAAACACCTTGTAGTTTTAAGAAAGAATTTTAATTACCATTTATCGACTCTATTTCAGATTTATTTCACATTATGAGATTGAGATAATTCGTCTTTGTAATATTCGTATAATTTTATGTATAAAAATACAGATTGATGCTTTCAAAATAATGTAGATCTTAATTGTTGACATTAAAATAAATGACAAATGATCATATATGTTTTACTTAAGATACCAATAGCGCATTTTTTGTTAATTTATAGACAATTAAATTATTTTTGTAAGATTTAATTTTAAAAACATTTGTAATAATTTTGTAATTTTTATATACTACTAAATATTGTTCTATTACAATGAAGTGTAGATAATATAAATTAAATAATAAAGTAAAATTGAAAGTTTTTTTCTTCTTTAATCATCGTTTCTTATTATCATTAATATAATTTATTATAATTCACCAAAACTTTTTACTCGTATTCTTTAATATATTGTTAATGTTTTGTTAACACTAAAGTCAATTTTTAACATATTTTTCATAATTAGAGTAAAGAAAGACAAATTAAGCGATCGTTTTATTTGTATGCGCTTGATATTATAGGATTTGTGAAACGTGATCTTGCACGCCCTTTTATGAGAACATCAGTTTAAATAAATATATTTTTAATTATTCTATTCAAATAAATTTTGACGTTTGAATTCCGAAGAATGCTTAAATTTTAAATGTGTTTTAGAAGATAGTAGTTATTTCTTAAATACAATTCACATTATCAGGCTACATTAAAAAATGGAAATATTATTAACTAATAGTAATTTTAAGGTCCTTAAAGCACATAATATTTTACTCATTCTTACATCTCGCGTGCTTTTGATGCATCATCGCTTTAATTTATTTATTATTTCCAACCCTATTATAACAATATCTGAATTTACATATATCGGATTTATTTATCTCAGTTTTGCCATAAATGATGCCCGTATAAAATTTACCACCATCTGAAAATTCCAATAAATATTCCAAAACAAAACAAAACAAAATAAATTTACAAATCAATCATTTTTCAAAAATTCAATAAGAATATCATTTCCTTGCGCAAGTTCCGCAATACGGCAAATAGTCCTTTGAATTTAGTAATTTAATATTTATCTCGTGTAACTGCACTCACAGTCATAATATGCTTACAAGGTAGACGAAATTATTAGCATTAAATTCAGGATGTCTGTGAAGTAATGAAATAATGTGTAATCTGTAATGAAATTGTAGAAGGAGCCTAAGCAAAATCAACGCGCCATTGTAAAATTAGCTTAAAATAAAAAGCCACCGCCACGGCACCAACGCGCGCGCATATCATCGTGAGGCAGCCGATTGCTCTGAACAAGCGGAGCGGCGCCTTTTCGTGAAAGGATCAACAGCCCTGGAAAAGAGTTCATTCTGTCGACGGCAGTGCCTGCTTCTGTCTAAGCGTTGGTTAACCCTTGATTTTTACGGGGAGATAGAGAGTGAGAGAGCAGTACAAACAACAGTTGCGCGCACTCCTGACCAAGTACTTGGGCGCAATCGAGAATGTCGTCCAAGAGGAAGAGCTCCACGACCAAGAGCAAAGCCAAGAGCAAGTCGCGTAAGGTCGAGTACGACGACGAGGATATCTCGAGCGAGCACGATTCTGAAGTCGAGGACGAGCAGCATCAGGAGAACGCCGACGGTGAGGATACTACCGAGGAGGATTTGGCCGATCTCGCAAGCATACCCGAGCTCCCCGCACCCGAGGTTTGTATGCTTTATTCTTCTTCCTTCTAATCAAGGATTTCTATCCCTCGATGAGCGTCTTCCCGTTACTCGACTCTTTGTTATTTCGTCTAACGCTTTTTTTTTATCCTTCTGGGGGTGGGGGAAGGCTTACGGCCGAACCGCGTTTAAGAGGGAATTTGAAGGTTACGGTTTTGCAAATTCAAATTCATAATGTAATTGTGGCAGTTACTTTTGATTTTCATCTATTTGTAAGTGTAATCCGTGTGATTATTACATTTTTCTGCGATTACTTTTCTTAAATTTTCACCATTCTAATATCTCGACATTATTATGCATTTTGTTTTTATTAATTTGTTATTAACACTTGCCGATTGTTTCATTTATTTGTTTCACTTATTACGTTATCTTATATTTTTGGGCAATAACATTCTACTTAATTACTTATGTACTTATCTCTTATAATATTTTTGCATCATGCAATAATTATAATTGCCCAAATACTGTGTCTTAACTTTTTATTCTATATTTTAGTTATACGTTTAATGTTTGATAAAATCTAATTAATCATTTTATGTTCAAGTTATTGAATCTTCAAAAATTTCACTAAGCTAAAATTGCATATTAAATTTGCATACTAAAATCTAGATTAATCTATGCTTATCTAGATTAATTGATATACATTGAATAAGTATACCCATTATATTATTTTCAGATAACTTGTTTTAATATCCAATAATTTATTATAAATTATTTTAAAATTCCTATACAATAGATTGGATTCTAACGATAAGTTTATATAATGCTTAGGGAGGATGGGGCAAGCTAGGAACTTTGCTCATGTGTGGGCTTACCAACTGGGATATAGCTGGGCGTAAAGCGCCTCCAAAAGGTTCTAAGGTAAATATTGGTCGCAGCTTGTGGATTCCTCATACTTTCAAGAACTTGAATGGAGCTAGAGTCAGATTAGTGGCTTCGGGTCCTGCTGCTTCTCATAGTGTGATTGTTACTGAAGACGATAGATGCTTAGTATTTGGTAGAAATGATAAAGGTGAATATTTAATCTTTTTAAAATTGAGTATGTTAGATAATTTATTCAATTATTATATAAAATGTAATATGCGTTAGTTCAAATATATGAACAATACTTTTAAATTAATTTTCAAAATTAATAACACAAAAAAAAGAGAATATGGAAATATAAATTGCACTTATTTATAAATATAACCTAAATCATAATTTTGTTGGTAATTCATACATTAATTTATAGGTCAATTAGGAGTCGGTGATACAAAACGTCGAGATGAACCAACAGAAGTTGAATCGTTGAAAGGTCATACGGTTATAGCAGCAGCTTGTGGACGTGGTCATACTCTATTTCTGACTAGTCGTGGTATTGTTTATGGTGCTGGTGATAATAAATTGGGTCAATGTGGAGTTGGAAAAACTGATGCTATGATTCTCACAGCAACTAAAGTAAAGTATGCCGGTGCTCCTATTGTGAAAGTTGGCTGTGGAGCTGAATTTTCTATGATTTTGGATGTTAAAGGTAAAACCAGCTTATAAGTAGCTATGATAAAATTGAAGAATATCTTAAATAAGATATGTAAAAAAAATTCATTCTAGGTGGCTTACATTCTTTTGGAAGTCCGGAATATGGTGCTTTAGGCCACAATACAGATGGCAAATATTTTATAACCAGTACAAAATTAGCTTTTCATTTTGAAAAGGCTCCCAAGCGAATTGTTATTTACGTCGAGAGAACCAAGGATGGACACATAACGCCTCTAGACGGTGTAGAAATCACGGACTTTAGTTGTGGTTATCATCACACTGTGGCTATAGATAGTAAAAATCGTGCATTTTCATGGGGCTTTGGCGGTTTTGGACGTCTCGGTCACAACGAGCAACGCGATGAACTCGTACCAAGACTTATCAAGTTTTTGGAGCCACCGAATCGCGGAGTCAAAGCAGTATTTTGCGGCAGCACATTTAGTCTCGTTTTAAATGTACATGGAAGCGTGCTGTTGTTCGGTCAATCGAAACGCACCGGTGAGGCCAATATGTATCCGAAACCTATACAAGATTTATCAGGATGGGACATAAGATGCGTCGCATGTTCGCAAACAAGTGTTGTTGTAGCTGCAGATGATTCCGTTATTGCTTGGGGATGCAGTCCCACATTTGGCGAATTAGTAAGTTTTGTCTATTATATTATGATATAGCTAATGCATTAAAGTACCTTAAGACAATTATTACAATTTGTTTAACTACGTAATTAAGAAAATCAAATAAAATGAAATAAATATTTGACAGGGTTTTGGCGAAATGCGAAAATCTTCAACTGTTCCAATGGAGGTGAAAGCTTTAGAAGGATTATATATCACAGCTGTAACATGTGGACTCTCTCACACTTTGATGGTCTGTCGGGATGAATCGGAAGAAGAAAAGACAAAAATTGAAAAACTCCAATCATATTCAGTTTAATGTTAAGAAACAACGAAAACTCATTTTATTGAAATATTTATATTCTCAAAGTTTTTGCACTGTTCAAAAGGGAATTGATGGATCCGAGTTTGGATTCTTTTATAATCCGTCATGAAAAAGTAGTTCTTTTAATTTTATTGTAAGTCACGCTTTTACGACGTTCTGATATGACGTAATTTCGCGTTTGAACCAATAATTTTAGATGGGTTCGAAGCTATTAGAGTCGCGGTGTAAATCAATAACATGTAATACTGAATAATTTATTCAATGTATCCAAAAAAAAAAAAAAAAAAAAAAAAAAAAC